CCTCCTTCCTCTTCACTCCCACTACGTTTTTTGTTTTTATTTTGTTTTTCCCCTTCCATTCCTCAAAATTCATGTTTTAAATGTTGCGCCTCGCTACAAGGCGCAACGGCATTTCTTTTGTTTTGAGGGAAATGCAAGTCCACCCGGGCAGAGCCCTGTACCCGGGTAACCCTAATACAACTGGCGGTCGGGCGGTCGCCAGAGGTTGGCCGCTAGCTGGCCCGGTTACTGCCGGACCACCCACTCACCCTGCGGGCAAGCGGGGGCGCGGTGCCGCGCAGAGGTCCGTAGACGCCCCAGCACCACGCAAAATTCAGGGTTTTTTCTGAGGTTTTCCTTCCTCTTGGGCCGGCCGATTAAGGCAAGCCCCCTGGTCCCAGATGCGCCGCGAGACATGATCCACGACACGCACCCGGGGAAACAGGTTTGCCCGACGGAGGGCCGAAACCCCTAACCAGGCGTAGCACGTCGCCACGCCCGGCCCGCCGCGCCGCGATCCACCACCACCGCCGTCCGTGGTGACTCCACCACCATACTGCGCCATGAAGGCCACTGGTCTCAACAGACCCCAACAACCGTGCTCGGAGGCACGCTCGCAGCGCTCTGAGGTGAGCGCTGCGTCTCCGTGATCGGTCTCCGCGTCGTCTTCGGAGACCGACCGATGGATCCAATTAGCTTCATCAGTGCAATAGTGGCCAGAATCGGCAGACCCACAGACAGTCTGTTGCCGATTAGGCACCCGGCCACTATGTAAAAAGGCACCGACTACTGAGCCCCCCCGCCGCGACAAGGCCTGGATCTTGGGGGGGAACCTAACCCAACCTAACCTAACCTGTTTTCCCGATTACAGACACAGAATCCGATCTCGGAGGAGGGGGAAGGGGGAGGAAATGGGGAAATCTATTTGAGCCAAAAGACTCGCTGTGCCGAGACGGATCTCCTGAGCCCAATCTCGACGACTTAGGACCAGGATCACTGGAGTTAGACCCAGAGGGGGTGAGGTAAAAAATATTTAAGGGGGGGGGGGAAGGTTTCGTGGGGAGGCGAATGGCGCTCAGAAAAATGTGTTGTTTTTAGAGGGGAAGGGGGTATCCCGAGCAATAGGGAAATTAAATTATTGTGGCTGAAATTATTATAGAAGTACTTATAATTTACTAAAATATAAAAATGTTGGTAAAAGTGGGGGGAGGGGGAAACTAGAGGGGCCAAAATCAGATCTTAAAGCTATTTAAGTTTAAGCCCAAACTCGGGCCTGTTAGGACTAAGGGGGGGTTTCCGGTTTTGAGGGGGTGAGGGGTTGCTTTTTGCGGGGGGGGGGATTTTTTTTAATGCACTAACGTATAGCTTGTCCTATGACGACCACGACCAGCCCAAGCACTATTAATCTTACTTAATTATAAAGGAAGTTATACTATATTAAAGTTTTAAGAAATATAATTTTGTATGTTTGTTTACTAAAAAATTTTACTCAAGTACAGCTGTTAAATAAATATTTTAAAAATATCGTTGTTGATGGATTTTGATGTTTTGTGGGCTCAATCGATAGCTTAGGAACCAAAGATTTTAATAGTTATTATATAATTACTGAGTCTATTATATTTTATTTGTTATAAGCGCTGAAATGTAATGTTAATTTTAGAAAATTTTAAGAAATTTAAACTTATTGGCTTATAACTTTTTTAATTTAAGTCCAAATGAAATTTAAAAACTATATTCTAAAATAAGGAGAAAAATATCTATCGAATGGCGATATATAATATGTATTATTTGGCTTTTAACTATCGATGTGATATTTTTATTTGTGTATCCCAAACCATTAACAAAAGATGCTATGGCTTATATCTTAAAAACTATTACACGTAATTTAATGAAAATTTAAAATAATATAAACTAAGACTGTTAGTGAATAAGTTTGTTTGTAACATTGTAACTAGATGTCGCTAGTTGACATCTAAAACACGCAATCAATATTGTCTATAGCAACGATTAGGCAGTTTGTATATTATGTATAAAAAAAAACCCAATAAAAACCTAATTACCACTTGTCGTTTATTTATACCACAATTGAGTTCAGAGAAGTGCATTCATTTTGGTCCAAACGAGATCGGATATCTCAGTGAAACGCAACGGTTAAGAGGGTTATTACACTTGCGGATAGTGGATTGCTATCACAAACTCGCAAGTATCAACAGGAGCGGATGGATGCTGATCAAGCCAGCATCATCAGTTTCGGACTATATCTTCAGAGGAAGACATTGGTCAGGAAAACATCAACAAGTTATAAGTGTCTGGAGACACCGGCGCAGTAGCAGCATCAACGACGCATCAATTCAAGAAGTGTCGTGTCACCGTGGGCGGAGGCAGTCTATGTTGCTGGGAGCAACTGATCTGAAGATAGCCACGAGTGAAGGTCAACCATACAGTCCACAACTATTGAACGAAATCTACAGCAGTGAAATTATCAGTAAAGTGTCAAACGTCGCCCAAATTGACGTTAAGTGTTAAGTGCAATATACTCTGGGAGCAATATCTGTGGTATAGAGTGAGTCAACATAAACTGTGAGTACTTTGTCATTGTCAAAATAATAGAAATGTCATATGGACTTTAAACTTTTAAAATAGTTTGTTTATGTAATTTAGAAATTAATGCATGTTCAGTTTAGACTTAGAATAATTTCTTAAAAAGAGTTCAGACGGGGAACCTATGCCCAAATTTCCTTTGATATATATATCATTTAAACACTTAGAAAAGTTGTGAACAATTTTGTTACAAGTAATTATTGTGTGCAATAGTATAAAAACAACATATAAATATGCAGTCTCTAATAAACTTTCAAGTTGATTTGTATTCTCGCATAAATAAGGCAAGAACAAACTTTAAAAAATCTCCTAAAGAACGCATTAGTAAGCAAGTTTATATAGAAAATAGAATTGAGTCAGTGGATCAATTGTGGGTTGAATTTTTGTCAGGCCACAAAGAGTTAATGAAAACTTGTGAACTTAAAGACTTACAGGCTACTGATTACATTAGAAATGATATCTACGATAAAGCTGAGGAAATTTATTTGGAATACAAAAGCGAATTAAAAGAACATTTCAATGAATATAGACATAATGACTCGCGTCAGTCTGGTTCAGATAAGACAAATCCTGTTCACAACATCAACATAAAATTACCGAAATTACAGATCCCATTTTTTTCTGGTGATTATTCACAGTGGTTAACTTTTAAGGATTTATTTAGTTCATTAGTCATAAACAATCACTCTTTAGATAATGTGCAAAAATTGCATTATTTAAAGGGATATCTGACAGGAGATGCCGAACAGTCAATTAAACATATACCATTAGAAGGAGTAAATTTCAATAGATGTTGGGAATTATTAGAGTCAAGATATAATAATAAAAAGTACATATGTTATAATAGCCTAAAAACATTATTCAGTCAGAAAAATATGACAATAGAATCAGCTGATGGGTTAAAAAGTATTGTAAACACAACAAACGATTGTTTAGCAACATTAAGTAATTTAGGTATAGATGTTAAGTCCTGGGATGTATTAATTATACACATTTTAAGTTTAAAATTAGACTCTGAAACACGCCGGCAATGGGAATTTGATGTGACATCAAATATTCCTTGCGATGAGTTGCCCACTTATGATCAGTTTCAAGATTTTTTGAGTAAAAGATATCGTGCCATAGAATTTATTAATACAAAATCTAATGTTACTAAAAATCAACAAGTTAAAATTAAAACATTTCATGTAAGCAATAGTTCATGTCCATATTGTTCGGAAAGCCACAAGTTGAGTGCATGCAACAATTTTCACAAAACAACAGTTGGTAATCGTCGCAACTTTGTTATGAAAAATAACATTTGTTTTAATTGTCTTGGATCAAATCACTCTGTTAAAGAGTGCAAGTTAACACGCTTTAAATGCAAGGAGTGTAATCGAACCCATCATACTCTCCTGCACCCCACAACGGGTAACAATATAGCTGAAGGTGGCCAAAGCACTAGTCAACAGGGGGGCTCCACCTCGTCAGCTGATCCAACATCACTTGTTTCATGCTTCTCTAGACAACCGGTCAAACAAGTATTGTTAGCTACAGCTTTAGTAAAAGCTCAGGCTAGGAATGGCACAGATTATATAATTCGAGCGCTTCTTGATCAAGGTTCTCAAGGTTCATTTGTCACTGAAGCAACGGTACAATACTTAGGTCTGAAAAAGATACCAACAACAAACAAAATTAGTGGATTAGGTAAAAATGAAGGCTTAATCTCTAAGGCAGTGGTAATAATAGATATTAAGTCTAGAATCTATCCGAATATAAGTATAACTGTAAAAGCTCATGTCCTTAAAAGCATTACATCAATGCTTCCATCTAGAAAAGTTGAATTACTAGACTGGAAAGAACTTAATAATTTAACTTTAGCCGACCCACATTATCACTCTCCCAATAAAATTGATATTTTATTAGGTGCAGAAGTGTACAGTGAATTAATAAGGGATGGAATCATGAAGGGTCCACAGGGTACTCTGGCCCAAGCTACAAGTTTAGGCTGGGTGTTATCAGGTGGCATAACAGCTGTAACTTCTAAGGCATCTCAATCTATCCACACAATGCATTGTTGTTTAGAGGAAAAAGATGCATTGAAAAAATTCTGGGAATTAGAATCAGATATTCAAATGCCAAGAGAGAAGCTCTTGACAAAACAAGAAATTTATTGTGAAGAATATTTTGAAAAAACACTTACCAAGGATAGTGATGGTAGGTACATTGTTCGTTTACCTTTTAATACTGATAGTCCAGAGGTCAAGTCATCTCAGGAAATAGCTGAAAAAAGATTAAAATTATTAGAAACAAAATTAAGTAAGAATAAAATATTAAAAACAAAATATCAAGAAGTTATAAATGAATACTTATCTTTAAATCACATGGAAATAGTACCTAATGAAGAAATAAAAAATAAAAAAAGCAGTATACTTACCTCATCATGCTGTGATAAGAGATGATAAAGATACCACAAAGGTAAGAGTAGTGTATGATGCATCCTGTAAAGGTACAAACAATAAATCATTAAATGATCAACTATTAATTGGACCTACCTTGCAGCCGGAACTAAGACATATTATTATGCGATGGAGATCTGCACCCATCTGTATATCGGCAGATATAATCAAAATGTACCGCCAAGTAAAAACACATAGCGATGATAATGATTTCCAAAGAATACTTTGGAGAGAGGAACCAAGTCATGCAATCACACATTATCGACTTACCAGGGTTACTTTTGGCACAGCGTCAGCTCCTTACCTTGCAGTTAAGGCACTTCAACAAGTGGCTCAGGACTATGGTGCTGAATATCCTGCTGCTGCTGGAAGAATATTAAGCGATTTCTATGTAGATGATTTTATGAGTGGTTCTCAAACTTTAGAGGAAGGAGTGAAAGTATTTAATGAAGTAAATAATTTATTAAACAAGGCAGGGTTCACATTACAAAAATGGAATAGCAATAATGATGAATTAGTAAACATTATGAAAGGAGAAAGCAGAGATACCAATGAAGGATTAGAAATAAAACAAAATGAATTAATCAAAATCATGGGGCTTACCTGGAATCGCAGAGATGACACGTTCCGCTACACAGTGAATCTGGCTCCTTTGCAGAAACCTGTAACAAAGAGAAAAATTATTTCCGACATTTCAAAACTTTATGATCCACTAGGATGGTTGGGACCAAGTATAATAATACCAAAGATAATGATACAAAAACCTAAAAATATAACCACAGAATTAGAATCAATTAAAACACATTGTAGTACGATAGAAGTAGAAGATGAACCATTTAATAAATTTTCTTCTTGGAGTAAGATGATTAGAGTTATAGCATACTGTAAACGGTTCATTAATAATTTAAAAAATAAAAACAATAAATCAAATAAAATTATTAAACCTTACCTTACATTGAATGAAATTAAAAACACTACATTATTTTGTATAAAACAATATCAATCAATTCATTTCAGTAAAGAATTAAATCTTATATTACATAAAAAAGACTTACCTAAAAATAGCAAAATTAAATCCTTAAATCCATTCCTTGATGATAAACATGTTTTGAGAGTAGGAGGTCGGTTAGAAAATGCACAATTAAATTACAACAGTCAGCACCCAATTATTATACCAAAAGTATCACATATTACCCAACTAATCATTGCAAACGCTCACATACAGACACTTCATGGTGGGCCTCAAATAATGACTACTTATTTACGCAGTAGTTATTGGATAATAGGTGTAAAGCAATTAGTAAAGTCATATGTCCGTCATTGTGTAATATGTATTAGGTACGCAGCCACAAGAAAAACACAGCCGTTGATGGGTCAGTTGCCTAGCGTACGGGTCAATCAAGGTAGACCTTTTAAAAGTAGTGGAGTGGATTATGCTGGTCCTATCAACATAAGAACTTCAAAGGGTCGAGGACAGCATTCCTACAAGGGATATATATGTTTATTCATTTGTATGGTCACCCGGGCCATACACATTGAAGTGGTAAGTGATTTAACATCACAAGCATTTTTGGCCGCTTTCAAGCGATTCGTGTCACGTCGAGGTCACTGCTCAGACATATGGAGTGATAACGGAACTACATTTGTTGGAGCAGCCAAGGAACTTAGAAAATTATTTTTCGGAGAAGAAGCCACAATTCCTAAGGAATTAGGTTCAAACTTCGCTGAAAATGGCACAAACTGGCATTTCATACCACCCCATGCTCCAAATTTCGGTGGGTTATGGGAAGCTGGTGTAAAATCTGTTAAACATCACCTTAAGCGAGTCATCGGAGAGTCTACTTTAACTTACGAGGAGTTGACGACTGTTCTTGTGCAAATTGAGGCATGTCTCAACTCACGACCTTTAATACAATTAACTAACCAATCTGACGAAACAGACATACTTACTCCGGGCCATTTTCTCATAGGGGAACCCATAATTAGTGTTCCAGATTATAATTTTGAAAATAGTAATATCAGTAGTTTACGTAGATGGCAACTAAGCCAAAGAATGACCCAACAATTCTGGCGACGTTGGTCACAGGAATATTTAAATTGCTTAATACAGCGTCATAAGTGGACAGCTGAAAAAGATGAGCTAAATTTTAATGATATTGTCTTAATTAAAGAGGACAATATGCCTCCATCACGATGGCTTTTAGGCCGTGTAATAGACAAACACCCTGGATCAGATGGGATCACCAGAGTAGTTTCTCTACGCACAAAAGGTGCCATTATTAAAAGGCCAACATCAAAATTATGTCTGTTGCCTAAGCAATAGCTATAGCCTTTAGTAAATAAGCAATTTTGTTGTATATTTTTAAATGTAAACATATAAGGTCAAAGGTCTTACTTTGCCCTTAGTGGGCGGTATGTTAGTGAATAAGTTTGTTTGTAACATTGTAACTAGATGTCGCTAGTTGACATCTAAAACACGCAATCAATATTGTCTATAGCAACGATTAGGCAGTTTGTATATTATGTATAAAAAAAAACCCAATAAAAACCTAATTACCACTTGTCGTTTATTTATACCACAATTGAGTTCAGAGAAGTGCATTCAAAGACGTTCTCTTGACACTACAATATTTCGCTTAGGCGTGCTCCAGAAGGTTGACCCCTGATGAGGACTCGAACGCTCCGTCTGCTTCAGCTCGACCGCAAATAGATGAAGACGCTGGTTTCATATGATATTGTTATCGTAGGATAACAAGCGATATGTCGCCTATTTAAGGCTTTCTAGTGCACTATTAATATTAAGATCGTATTCGTAAACTAAATCACTATGACCAAAAATGTGAAAAAAGTTGGTAACTCAAAAACTATATGGCCAAAAACTTTATGTTTTTAGTTGTATCTTGATAAGCACTTTTGAATTCGCCAATGAAAAATATTGGTCGTCGCTTTAAATTTCGAGCCGCATTCACTTTTAGTTTTTCACTTCACAAATTTCACTATATATTCTGTCTCGAAAGTCGTAGAAAAGAACTAAAATAAACTTAAGCTTATTACTTAAACTTAAAGTTCTTTTCTACGATTTTTAATCTTTATAAATTATAGCGCCTGATAAAAATATATAGCAAAAGTGCATGTAATTTGTTGCTTTTTAGTAGTATAAAAAAATCTTAATTTAAACCTTAAGTTTATATTAGTTCTAGAGAATAAAGCTACATAAATAAGATTAGCTTTTTTAGAAAGTTCGGTTTGATATGCCACTTTTTACAGCTAAACACAATTTTTAAACGATTTTTGTTCTTTAGAAATTATAGCGCCTGATAAAAATATAAAGCAAAAGTGCATGTTATCGAATTTTCTTTGTGAATTTGTAGGTTTTTAGTTAAAGTGAATGCAAAACCTTTAGTTTATTTTATTTCTAGAGAATGAAGCTATAAACATTAAATTAGCTGTTTTAAAAAGTTTACTTTGATATGACACTTTTATAATAATAATAATAATAACTCCTAAAACAGGAGCCACTGAGCATAATGTTACGAACACACTTGTGTTGCAACAAAAACAAACTAAATTAAAATTATTAAAAAAATTACATTAAAAATTTACGTACAAGTAGGTACTGAGGCGCCTTGGACAAGATGACGTCATAGAGTAGGGCAGCAATATGCAAACCTCTCCTGTTTTCCATGTTGCGTATGTTCGCCTTGACAATATAATATGGAGTTATATGGCTTCGGGGGGGTATACCCCAACGAAATCGGATGCAAGCATTTTATACCCTGTGTATGGCCTGCTTTGACCGCGCGAAGAGTCTAAGCCCATATACAGCATCCTCATAATTAAATTTGGTTTTCAAATCGAAGATTTTCGTCAAAAAGTATACGCAGACTTCAATACTCATTACTCATGGACACGTTCACAATGGCTTGGCTATTTATGGAAATGGATAATGATAGGCGAGATATTTTGGATCTTGTGATCCCAACGCCATAAATTTTTGTTTTTGTGGGATTTAGAATAAGAGAATTCGACGAATCCGAATTAACGTAAGAAATAGCTTTTGAAGTAGAAAGAGTAATAGAGCTGTATATCATCAGCATACATATGGAAACGACTAAAACTACGAATAAATAAAAAAGGTTCCAAAATAGAGAGAGAAATCGTAGTCGTACCGTATCTTCTCGTATTACAGCGACAGTACTAAACCAATTGGCTGCATCTGGTGAAAAACCATAAAATTAAATTAAATTAGGAGGTTTAAATCGTGCGTGAGCCTTAATGTGTATCCATAGGTTTTTTGGTTGGTTAATGGAGTTATTTACATATTTATCGAAGTAAACTTTCTTTTCGATTAATAGAATATCCCATTCACCTGTTTTTTGCGGTCTTTATAATGATTAATATGACATTCTCATTTACTCTTCGTAGCCCTAATGTATGCTTCATTCATACATTCTTAAGTAAGTCAGTAAGTCTTCATCATACATTTTAAATTATATGTCACCCATGGATAGTGACGTTGTCTAGCAAAAACCCATTTACGAGGTGCATAAAAATCGAATAATGTGCTGAGATAAGACGTAAAAAGATAATAGATCTTACTGTCCACGTCTGCTAAATGCCGAATTGTCTCCCGAGAAGTAGCTAAAAGCGTATTATTACAACTCTCCATATTAATATCCTTTAAAGCGCGGAACGAGATCCAACTAGGTTTAAATTTTTGCTTAATTATGTTAAAAGTACAAAATACAAACGCATGACTGCTTAAATCTCTTATGTGATCGACTGCCACTTCCGACACCGGAGCATTTTTATTATTTTTTATTTTATTAAGAAATAGCTGTCCATCGAACCAAGGCGGTCTATAAGCAGTTTTCCCCTAATGGTAGTTCTCACCCACATCTGTTCAACTAGATTTACAGCAGGATGTGACAATAAACGAACAGACATCATTTTATAAATGTAAAAACCTACGCCTCCACCGCGGGTGCGAACCGACGGTGGGCGGGGAATTATAATATGTCGAAGCCTGTAACCCGTCACCTGAGGGGCGCATCCCGTCTCTCCCTCCCGAAGCCACGTCTCCTTTACGGCTAGTATGTCCACCTTCCTAGTGACCCTGGATTCAAGAGTCCAACCTTTAACCTTTCTCTACTATTTACCATATTGTCTTACAAAGTAATTCACAAACAGGTCTTTCACATAAGCAATTCTTCTTTTATATACGAGACGTTCAAATAATTCTAATATTTGAGCCAATGAAATCGCGACGTGCTCAGTATTTTCGCCGTTCGCCTCGAAAACTCCCGCGATCTCCACATCATTCATGAGGCATTGCTGTTCAGACTGATTCAGGCGTCTCTTCAATAGTTCTACTTCCTGTCTACTTCACAGCTATGCTGATTATTAGCCCCCAGCTGAAGCACGCTCTCTTCCAGTTTAGATATTCTAGATTCCATATTATCTTGCTTCATACTTGTGAAGGAGGCAATTGCTCTAGTGAGTTAAGATTATGTTTCTGACTTGAAGTCGATAATAATCGTGCGAAGGGATAAAATTTGATCTTTTAACTCCTCGAACGATGAAGCGACGACGTCACTTGATAATGCTAAAGAACCAATATCACCGGCCGTAGTCGCATCGTTATGAGGTATGCTGCTAGCAGCAACATAATCTCGATTACTCTTCGAGCGAGCTATCAGACACGGCTTGTAGCATTTTTTCGAACTTGGACTTACTGCTTTTGGGCAATTTTTATGCAAGTGAAAATTACAGTCTTCATCGAACGCCATCTGGAGCAATCGCAAAGAACTTCGCACACATTACATAAATTTATTTAATTGATCGGGCATGTCGTTGGAATAATTTTTTTCGTTTTATACACTTTTTGTTAGATTTTAACTTTGCTTAAGAATGTTGCCCAAACACTTGCATTATCTTTAGTGATTTTTTGCGGATTTAACTCGAACGCCAAGATAATTTAAGTCCAAACTGTTTCTCTTGCTATAAACCTTTTTCCTCTCCGATATCAACAAAACGGATCGTTATGCATCGAACGCCATCTAGAGCAATCGCAAAGAACTTCGCACACATAGTTCCTTTGTCTTGATGGATTGGGCATTTCACTATAATTCGTATTCAAATTCAAAAGTAAATCACTAGATGGCGCTATTATACAGTTTTTGTTAGATTTTAACTTTGCTTAAGAAAGTTTGCACTATCTTTAGTGATTTTTTGCGGATTTAATTCGAACGCCAAGATAATTTAAGTCCAAACTGTTTCTCTTGCTATAAACCTGTTTCCTCTCCGATACCAACAACACGGGTAGTACACATCAACCAAAGGCACTTGTTGTCAAACACGCAACAGCTGATTTCAATATAGTCTCTTATCTCACACAAAACAACGAGTTACGTGTTACTAACACTCACTACAAAAATATAAGCTGTATAAAGCTACATTATGCACTTTGCTTATAGAATAACTAGCTGTGCCGGCGACTTGGTCCGCGTGTAATAGTGATTTGGGGCAGAATTTTTAATTATTCAGGCTGTTTATTAATTTATGTAAGGGCGCATTTAAGGCAGCTAATCTATGTTGTAAGTGCAACTCTGCCGCTTCACTCCCACTCCCACTGCTGTTCCTATTCCCAAAAAGCCAAAGAAGAACGTTTCATTGTTCTAGCTTCAAAAACCACGAATTTACAAACTTTTATTCCCTTTTTCAACCCTTATCAACATTTTTTTTGTATTTAAAAGTAGTCCTTTCTCAGGCTCTAGAATATCTGTGTACCAAATTTCATTTAAATCAATTCAGCAGTTTCGGGTTAAAGCCGCACTGACAGACAGCCAGACAGACAGAGTTACTTTCGCATTTATAATATTAGTATAGATTTATTTAAATAAAAATGTATAAATGGTATGCATAACACGGTTTGATTTTGTTCGGCATTTCTATCACTTTGTTAAAATATGTAAAAAAGTAGTTATAGTGATGTAAGTACAATAGTTAGACTAATAAGTCTTGCGATGTTTTTTGTAGATATTGATATATTCTATAATATTGTAGAACATTTTTTTGTCCTATCATTAATACTCTTCGCAGCGTATGCGATGAGACATTTTATGGCAATTTTTTTACACCTCCCGTTGCTTTTAATAGAAATTTCTAAAGATTTCTATCGTAATCTACTACTAAGTATAGTCTATTTTACTGAGTGATGATGTAGCTTTCTAATGAAAAAAGAATTATTAAAATCGGTCTAGTACTTTTTGAGTTTATCCGATACATACCAAAATACCAAAATACAAATATTTCCTCTTTATAATATTAGTGTATATAGCTGTTGCCCACTATATTCGCATCCCGTCGTTCGGGTCGTTCTTGCCAGTTAATCTTAAAAGATAGACATATATCATTTAAAGGGGAATGATTTTTTTTACACAATTTTTAGGTATCTCGAACCGTTTTCGCAGCGTAGGTACGCATCTGAAACCTAGAGAGATGAAAAATTTCCCGTTTTGTTCACATTTCTCGCTGTATCTTCGCTCCTATTAGTCACATGTGTTGTAGCCTATAACCTTCCTCGATAAATGCTCTAACTAAGCAATCAATAATTTTAATTCGAACCCGTACTTCCTGAGATTAGCGCGTTCAAACAAATACACAAACTCTTCAGCTTTCAATATTAGTATAGATATAGATGTACTTGCGCATTTATCGCAGCCAATCTATGTTGTAAGTGCTACTTTGCCGCAACACTCTCACGTCACATCACTCCTACTGTAACTCCCACTCTCACTATTCCCACTCCTACCCAAAAAGCTAAAGAAGAAAGTTGTAGCTGAAGCTAGAACAATGAAACTTTCTTCTAGCTGTTTTCAAAAGTTCGGTTTGATATAACACTTTTCACAGCTAAACACACAATTTTAAAGAAGAATCTGAAACACGAGGAATCTAAACCTCGTTGGAGTTGGAAAACGTTAAATTGAAGATTAAATTAAGTTTTACTGCAATATGTTTTTTATAATAAAACCCTTTTACTAATTTGTTCAATACTAAACTGTATAATTCTCTTTGTATGTACTTAATAAAAAGTTGATCATGAGTCAACGATTTCTAGTTTCTCAATTTATATAATTTACCTTTATATTGCTTCGGAGCCAAGTGTATACTCTTACCAGTCATACATCGGGCTTCATTCGCATCCAAACTCACATATTAAGGTTTTTTAAAAGACTTGAAGAGCAGCACTCACTGACCCCAGTTTAAATTGCTTTCTTCATCCTTGATTAAGTGAAACTCTTGTTGAACGTTGAGGGCATATCTAGGTCACTAAGTTATAACTATAATAGAGTCAAGTACATTTTTAAATTTGTATTAATAATAGATATTGACCAAAATAAGGAAGATACATTATTTAAGATGTTTAATAAACATGGCAGTCTTACCCACTGTAACGGTTTAAGAACATTTTCACAAAATACTTACAAAAATATATTATAAATGCATTAACAATATAAATCCGAAAGTTTATATTTTAATATAAGCTTTGTAAATCAGCCACTACAACATACAAAAAAATTCCTTATATATAAAAATAACAATTTCTTAAAACACCATATTATTATACATATCCATACGCCATTTAATGGTGTTTAATGCAGTATTAAGCTATAAAAGATAGACATTACTTACATTTTGTTACATAATCTAAATCTGGAGACCTACTAACAGTTTTTATTATTTTTGTGCTATAATATAAATCATCTTTTGATTTATATTATATAGAAAATTTATAGTTTGGCATCAAAAAATTGTAGCTCTCTCTCATGTGGAAGTTTTTTGAAATAACCCTCTACATAATCTTCGTCGACGTCCGCCAAAGAAGAGTGTTGCCACTTTGGCATGTTGTCTTTGTCTATCAGAAGTGCCCGCACACCTAAGAATTATAATATTAATATCAGATTTTTTTTATGTCACAGAAAAACTCACTACAATAAAATCTAGGTCTTCATATATGTATTTTTATATTTTCACTTTATATAAAAATTTTTCAAAGACCTTATGTGAGAAATTTTTGACGTTGCTTGTATTTGTGTATGAAACATGTACTAACAAATAACAGAGAAGACAAACCTTCAGGGAAGTCATGGTTTTCTGTGGCACGACAAGCGAGTCGGTATTCCATCTTTAAACACTGGGGTAAGTCTAATTGAGCACCTCGCTGTAGTGCTCGAAGAGTTATTTTCAAAGAACCCGGACACATCTGACCTATTATCTGAAATACAAACAATTGCTTTAACAAATGGTAGAGTGCCTAAAAAAATATATAAATACCAAACAGACAATAGTCAATTGTTGGGTGTATAATGCCCTATGTCCTGAACTTAAAATTATTTTTGGATGCATAATTATGACAGTCATCAGATACCTAATGCCTGTAGATGTCGCGCAGATGCCTTTTGAATATTTTTTGTATTTTATATAATAGCTATAAGTCTTACCTTAACAGTCTTTATTGACCATTCATTATTCACTTTCTCGAGTCTCTCTATGATTTCTTCTACCGTGGAAGCCGCAAAACAATAATTAATATGCTTTATGTTATCTGCCAAAGAGAAGTCCTCTGCTGGCTCATGGAATTTATTCAACAGTTGTTGTACCTCATTATCACTTGTGCATCTTGACAACAATTTTTCTAGTTCATAGAGACGTTTGCTTGGCACTAAGTGGGTGGCGAAACCTGCCTTTACCACATCTATTCCTTTTAATCTATCACCTGATGTCAACAAATAATTAAAATAAATCTTAGCCCTGACTTCTTAAAACTGTTGAGTTTAAATAAAATGGTGAAATATCAAAATGAACATTCTGGTCTCAAGCTCCTTATCTCATATAGTATAGTGTTTTTGTCTTAAACACATGCATGAATCTAGGTATAATTTTCCATACAGTGTTATAATATTTTTTTAGGAATGCTGTTGTGTATGATGACTTATAATTGATTTATCTTTGATCTATCTAAAATCTTCTCGATTTAAACAATTGAAATCAGAAGATTTTTCATCTCTATAGTTAAGACAAAATGGGCCAAATGTTTACTCATGTAATATATTGGAATGAGTAAATATTCTTGGAACACAGATTACATCACATTTGACACTGAAGATAAAACTTTGTGATAAGCATTATTTAACTAGACCTAATTTTTATTTACAGTCTTACTATAATTTTAAAAGAAACCTTAATTTTAATATTATTATTGTCGATCACTCACCAGTGAGACCTAAATACATTCCCAGATTAACTTGTAGTCTAGGGAGAAAGTAGGATCCTCCGACGTCAGGGAACAAGCCAATTTTAGTCTCAGGCATGGCTACAATTGTTTTTTCAGTGGCCACTCTGTACCGACCGTGCACCGAAACTCCGACGCCTCCTCCCATTGTCACTCCGTTCATAAGAGCTATATATGGGACCTTATATTTCCCAATCAAGTAATTGACATTATACTCAATATGGAAGAATCGTGGCCCTTCAACTCTATCTATCGCGGATTTTACATCTCCGCCAGCGCAGAACGCTTTGTCACCGGCCCCTTTGACGATTACAAGACTTTTCTTGTTTTCCCATTCTTGCAGTTGGCGAAGAAGTTTCGTAACCATAGAAGTGTTTAAAGAATTTAAAGCTTTAGGTCTATTTAATGTGATTATTCCTGCGTTATTCAGATTTTCAAATAAGACATCTTGTTCTTGCGTACACATTGCACGTTTCAATATCGCCGTAGTTCTTGGCATTATTCTTAAGTTCAACATCTAAAAAATAACTATGTACTTAAGAAAGCATCGATGAAGTATTAATTCAATATACGCAACACAATAAATTAACAATATATATAATTTATTGTGTTGCGTAGAAAAGATTCAAGGGTCAATAAGTTAATGCTTATATTGAGGAAATTTTACTCACCTTAAAAATAATAATTATGTATAAAATATGCTTTTAGTCCACTACTTAAGTCTTTAAGCGCAAAACAAAAGAAAAAAAATAAATGTATTAAAAATACTGTAAGTACATATTATATTTTTATTAGCCACAAAATTTAATATTCGCGTATTTATGCGAGATTGATAACTGTTGATAACTATTATTATATTAGAATATACAACACAGTGTCTACTGCAGTGTTGCCAACAGTTATACTAACTTTCAGATTCAACTTTTAAAACCACCAGAAAACCACTAAAAAAAATTCAAATGACTGAAAATCGCTAGATTTTCCACTAAAAAAAATTGGTTTTACGAAATAAAATAAATATATAGGTTATTAGTTTACTTTAATAATACATTATAAAAATTAACAATCTGCTAATCAACATACCATTTGTAGGTAAATCAACATACAAGTTATTCAACAACAGCAGCTACATATTATGTATTCTAAATTAATTCGTCTGACGTCAGACGAATCATTTTTGTCTGCACCATCATCGTCGGTATCAGATTGATATGATTCTTTGGTGCCGATTTGTTTTACAACGCTTACTGGTAGTTCATAATTATTGCAGCATTTTCCTTCCAACCTCAAACCACAGCGTACTCTTAATATAGCTGTTAAAAGTTTTAAATTCATACTGCTAAATAGTCTCTCAACATCGGCATTGGAATGAGGCAGTATTAGAATAGTAATCGCAAAAGTCGCTAATTCCTCAAACCTCGATTCTCCTTGAGCGTCTTTGAAATGCAATACTTCATTCCAAATTTTTTTTGTGTTTTTGGTGTCACTCCATTAAAAAAAAAATCTGACTATGATCATCGACTCTTGCTATATGCTCTGCACTTTTATTGAACTGAGCCATGATGTCAATTAATGGTTGTTTTTAAAGTGATTAAGTGCTTGTTCTATACTTATATATCTATATTTTTTATTTATTTTTCAAATCGGAATCCAAGATAACATTTTTGATACAAGAAATCACGAATATTTTGAGAAAAAATATCAACTTTATTCGTGGGTAACGTAACCTTGCTGATGTCATTGTCAGATAATTATCAAATAGTCGAACATTATCATTCAACCGTCCCTTTGAAATGTGCTTTTAAGGTTTTCGTCATCGTTTTGGCATTTTTTTAATCACCTGTCAGTATCAATGGGTGTCCTAAGAAAGACCCTTAATTGGTACGCCAAACTTTCTCCTAGTCACGGAAGAATAAAACCTCCATACGAGCATGTCGTACAGATAGGCGATCCTACGTTACGTAAAAAATCAGAGGAAGTTAAGCTTGATAAAATAACAACAAGTGAAACACAAAAGACTATCCTAGTTCTAAAGCAAGTGCTTCATAAATATGGCAGTGTCGGGATGTCCGCCCCTCAGATAGGTGAAAATATAAGAATATTTGTGATGAGAATTACTGCTAAGCAGTGCAAAGAACATTCACCAGAAATTATTAAAAGTAGAAATATGTATGAAATACCTTTGACAGTAAGTAATTAATAAGTATTGCAGATATTTAAAACAAATATTTGGTTGAATTTGTTCAACAAATGTGTGGTTCAACACACATACTAAATGAGATTTTGTAACTACTATTAACATGTACAAGAGATACTGTATGGAATTTAAGGCAGAGATCTTATAGTTGGCGAGCCTAGCAGATTCATAAACTTTTTTCTTTAGGTATACATTAATCCCAAATTAAAAATTGTGGATTATCAGAAAATTATTTGTGCCGAGGGATGTGAGAGTGTGAGGTCATTCCAAGCGGATGTAGCGAGGTACAAGGCAGTGGAAGTATCAGGTTAATAAATTGTACACTTGTTTTATTATTTCAATAAAGTACATGGAATTTATTTATGTTTGGTACCCAGATAAACAGTAAAGTGCTCTACAACATTGAGTATGTACATGAAAACCAATGGCTGATTCAAAATATTGTTAACAAATTTTTCCATATTTGTAGGATTGAATTCGCAAGGAGAGCCAATATCCCAGATATATAAAGGTTGGGCGGCTCGAATAGCACAACATGAAATGGATCATTTAGATGGAAAGCTATACACAGATATCATGGATAGAAAAAGTTTGCAATGTGTTCATTGGGATGAAGTCAACATCTGTAAAGGGAAAATGTCTATTCCGTTCAATCCAGAGTAGTTACAAGCTTCAAGACTGTATATAATTTGTAATGCCAAATAAAAAGTGATTAAGATTCATCTATTTTTTTTTTACACAGCTTTACTGAAACTAAAACTGATCAAATTAATTCCATGGAACCTACCATACATATTATTCTGTTTACATTTTCAAAAATACAAACACATTTTTTAAGTGTGTAATGTGTATGTGGTTAGATATACATTATAATATACAGAGTGGGTTAAATATTATTATTATTCAAAGATCTAATAATTATCTTTTATTAAGTGAGACAGATGACAAAAATGATTTAATAGGTTTTAGTAATTTCTTTCCTCTTTCCATTTGAATCCTGAGAATTTGAAGAAAGTGTTTGCATCGAATATTACAGCATTTACGAAGTATGTATTTTAGTATAAGCATTTTTTTTTAAATATAAATTTCAGCCCCGCCTGCTATTATAGCTTCCAACCGCAGCGAATGTCCCAGCGCATCAGTTATCTGGAATGAATGGTTATAGTATTGCGGCACATATACCTTGGCTTAGAATATACTCGTACTTTCATTTAAACTCTAGTGCTGTAGGTTGCATTTGCAATTTGATTTGAACACACTCTATTAAAGAAGAAATTTACCAATAGCGAAAAAAAAAGGGATATATACATACACTTTGATAATATGTAGTTAAAAAGAGTTAAACAAAAAACGAGAATAACGCTAACGTGGAAATGGGTCAGGCATAGGTGGCGGGAGTAGGCCCTCTCACCTAAGTGGGTTGCTGGACAGTGAAGTGAGACTTCCGAGAGATGGTGGACCACTGGTCACACTGAGTCGGTCGGTCTCCTCGTCCAACTGGTTGTTGCGCAGCTCTTGAAGTGTGTACACCAGTTTCGTCCATTCGTCATGCCGCGGCTGGTGCACTTGCTGAATGATTGACTTTTACATTTATACTAGTCCAGTAAAAGCAATTTTTTTGGTAAGCCGTAACATTAGTGAACAGGAGGCGGAAAGAAGCAAATACTGCCTTTACTTAATTAACATATTATTTGTACCAAAAGTCAAATGTGTCGCGAAGTGACCTAGAATAAAGAGCACAGGAATCTTTCAACGCACTGAAAAGATAATTTGTAAGCGTTTTGCTGTTAAAAATATATTACCTCCGCTAGCTCATAGACCCAAATCTTCCCTGCGTCGTCGCCAGCAGTGAGCAGAGAGCCGTTGGGCGACCACGACACTCTATTGAATGCTACGCCATCCTGACTCGTGATCGACGCTATCGGGACCTACGAGGGCAATTTGTACATCATCTTCTGTCATAACTCTACGAACCCGTGTTTGCCCGGGACCCGTCACACGTGCTTACCTCAGTGTCGCGATTGAGGTTCCAGAGGTCTAAGCGGCCGTGCGCGTCGACAGCGGCAAACAGAGCCGGGTGCACGGGAGACCAGCGCGCGTCCGACACGTAATCGCCGCTGTCTTCGAACGAGTACAGAGCTTTGTTCTCCTGTTTAATATTTTAATATATTGCAAATAGGAAGAATGAAATAAAATTCGTCTTAGGAGCGCACGTGCCGTATAATATGACGCGAAACGTACCTTAAGACTCCACAATTTCACGCTCCAGTCCATGGAAGCGGTGAGATAGAGATGGGACAGATCTAGCGGCCCGGCCGCGGCGTGGCAGGACACGGCCGTGACCGGCCCGGCGTGGGCTTCGACGCACTCCGACACGCCAGCGCGCTGACCGTGCCGACAGCCTGGTTTCGAGATAAAGAAGGTTACCCAACCCTACCCAACTTCGGTAGTTAATGTATCAATGCGCAGTAAATACTAGAATAATCACCAGTATACACGTTGCCATCTTCGCTCCCCAAAACGAAGTTGTTGACGTCGCCGTGCGGAAAGCCCATGGACGTTACGGCCACGGCCTTGCTCTGTCTGTGCTGTAGTTCCAATGTCTCCTGGGGCTGAGACATCATGTCCAATGACCAGGAACACATCCGCCCGTCAGTAGACACCGAAATTAAGTTGTGTGCGTTCTGGCTGCCGACCACTGATAGGCAGTACACTGGGTGCTAAAGGGAAAAGAGTGACAGACAGCATATTACTCTTATGAAAAGGGATGTCAGTAGAGCTTATTATTTTAATTAACGTCTAAATATATGGGAAACGGAATAAAGAACGGCAACGCTTAGAGTTGTATAAAAATGAAAGGTTTCGACAGGTTATCTGTATAGTACTGGCGACACTAACAGTATGCGCCAGGGATGAGAGCGGAGATCGTTGAATGGGTGTACGTTTTTGAACACGGTTGTCCCATAACACTATCTGTCCAGAATATGTGCCACCGAGGATAAGGTTTTGATGGAATCTGTGACAAAGAGATTTACGCATTAAAAATACAAAAAATCAATACAGTTAAAGCTTAGAATAATATGAATGCATTAGTTTTATATAATATGTGTTGTGTATGAATTTGCGAGCAGTATCTATACTAATATTACAAAGAGGAAAGATTTGTATTTTTGTATGTAACGGATAAACTCAAAAAGTACTGGACCGATTTTAATAATTATTTTTTCATTAGAAAGCTACATTATCACTGAGTAACATAGGCTTTTGATTACTATAGGCATCTATAGAAATTCTTACTAATACCAACGGAGGGCGTAAAAACATTAATGATAGGACAAAAAAAGTCCGACGATATTATAGAATATATCAATATCTACAAAAAACATATGTCTAACTATTGTAGTTACGTCTCTATAACTAATTGGTTACATTTAACAAATTAATAGAAATGCCGATCAAAATCAGACCGTGTTATCCATACCGTTTATACATTTTTATCCAAATAAATAAATAACAAATAAATAATTTAATATTCAAGACTATCTCCATACCTGATGATTACTTTTTTAATTATTGAAATCGGACATGCCATTCAGAAGATATCACGAAATTATAATAAAAATACATGCCGGCGGCGGCCTCCACGCCGCGCATCGAATAACGAGAAAAGAAAATAAACTAACTTGGCGAAAGTAGCGCTCATAACCGGAGACTGGCAGTGGAAGATATCTTCAGGTGTGGTCTTTTTGAACTTGGTGTTCCAGATGAGACACACCCCGTCTGGGTCGTGTGGTGCGTCATCGCTGTTATGGTAGGAAGCCAACATCAGCTCGGGGTGCGCAGAGGACCAATCCACGCAGGTGACGCAACGGCCCCGAGACCAGCGCTCGTCGTAGAACGTCCGGACCAGAGACAAACGAGCCGCTGATTTGTCATCCCTAGAAGTTAATTATGTCTATGATGCGCCACCACATACGCGGTTTGGCATGCATTTATCTTAAAGCCTACAAAAATACGCACTGTGCATTCTCGTTGTCTCCACCGCCCGTGTAATCCGTATAGATGTCGACTTCTTCCGCGAGTGCCCGCTCGATCACTCGCCCCGCTTTGCTGATAAATTTCTGGAATTCGGCTGAGAGCATGATTGTCTGCTTTTCGTCATTGCTCAGCTCGCGAACTAGACCGGTAAGGAAAAAGACGAATGACTCTTTTCATGAATAAATTCAAGAAGTACACGTTTTAGGACCTGGGACTTTTCGCCTTCCATAGAGTGAATCCAAACTTGTCTGCCCTCTGTCATAAAAAAATGTACCAGGCTGGCAGCGGACGTTAAAAGTGAATTGAGACTCTAATTCTATCGTTAATAGAAAAAATTATGACTCACTCTTCTTCTCCTTCTCTTCCTCTTTCTTCTCGTGCGGCGTAGCGGTGACGGCCGGCTGCACCTCCTTGACGGTGGGCAGCCCGTGCGGCAGGATGCCCGGCGGCAGCTTTCCGTGAAAGGCCGCCTCTTCGTCTTCGCCTTGGCGCGAGGCGTCCCCGTCGAATGTAAGCACTGGACGGTGAATAAGAATGGCCCTCGTGCGCCGCGCGGTGGGACATGCTCGTCGACTGACTTACTTTGTTTCGGAGCTTATGAGCTAACCGGTCTATGTCTCTTTCAAATATCATGCCGAGAGCAGACGGGAATTACGTTCGAGCAGAAAGTAGGTCAGCCGAGTGTTATGTTTCATGATGAATACGCTGATTTCTCGCTTTAAAGTCGGCAATGAGAGCGATCGTTCGCTTTCGCTTCAGATATTTCATCAGGAGACATAAGTCAGTGAAGAATGCGAATGTAATACAGCTCTACTTGAACTACTAGCGAAATGAAGAGATTTCAAACGACAGCTTACGTACGTTTAGCAGTTTATGTCATATAGCTCGAACACGTGTTACCTACACAGTGCTTTTTTTCGCAAATGCTAAACTCTTTTGAATTTCTCACTTCTTCTATCAATTAATAACATAAACTGCTAGGTTTCCGTTCCAAAGGCAAGAGAATCTATCATTATTCGTTGAGTGTTGTTGTTCAAATTAACGAAAGTCTAATTATGAATTCGGTAAATAAGGTTCCGTTCGGACCTTTCTGTTCCCTTTGGAACGGCCGATTTAACTGAGTTTAGTCAATATGAAAGTAAAGCACTACCAAAAACGACTACTTCGTTTATTCACTTCATCCCCCCTGTGAATAGTTAGCACGGGGGCTGTGAAAATTCTTTAAATTCTCCTTTTCACACAATTTTTTCCATATGACTGAATAAGCTTTAAATTATATCGAAAAATTGCTAGCAAAAATGAATACGTCACACGGGGCATTAAAAAAGCGAAACGTGACAGGAAGCCAAAAATATCTTTGAATGCAAAAAACTTCCTGAGCTCTCCACAGAGAGGTATATAACAATAAATAAATAACACCTACAGGAGTCGACGACGTCACGTCATGCACACGATAATAGTAATAATATAGGGAGGTAGTTTTTTTCTGCCACATGCGTATTTATCTTGGCATATTTTAACAATACGGTGTATTTAATCGAATATGTGACATAAGAGTTGAAAGCGAATGTATACAGGTGCCGCTGCCTAGAACCGTCGATGTCAATACATTGAGTCTAGTGCTAAGTAAATTTCGGACCGCGTCGCGACCTTTATACATTCGCGCGTAAGTAAAGATATGCCAAGTTAGCGACTACTGTAAATAGCGTTACAAATATGAAGGGGTGAGTGACGAAGACATGCTGAGGGAGAGTGGCACAGGCTCTACGTAGGGCGGTTCGTCTATTCGGATTTGAAACCTACCTGTAAACTCGTCCTCCCACTCTAAACCCGGGTTTAGATTGTACTCGTCTTGAAAAGGGAGGAAAAAACAACAATGTCAGTATCTCGATTAACAATAACAATTATGTATACACACAGCTAACATTTGCTATACATCATGGCCTAAGAGCCGTTCCACGCGACCCCGAGACTGACGGCGCTGCGCGGGCGCTCAGTCCGAGAGTCGAGGGGAACGGCCTTCTATGCGTTAAACCTGTGCAATGTATTGTTAGTTGAGACGGAAGTGTGAGTGAGATGAATCGGCGATCCCCATACCGGCACCGAAATACGATAACACTACGGTGGCCCAGTGGTTCCGAGACCACGTGGAGAACTCTGGAAGGCCACTTGCGATTTCGAGACTTCATTCCCACATCGTTCGCGAACATTCCGCTAGCGAGGCCCGTATACAGTATGTTAGTAGTCTAAAAGCGTGGAAGGTCTATTTACACGTCTATCGAGTCTAGTCCCACCGCCACCGTGGCCCTGACAATGAGAAGCAATCGGGAGGCACTCACCGTAGTAGTCGGCCGCGTGCGCTGGTGTGGAGAAACAATCAAGATCAGTCAATGGGTACATCGATATTAAAGCCAAGAAATGTTCATCGATTAAAGTTAGCTATATTTTTCGAACGTAAAATTATATTCTCTCTCGTGTAACTCTCGAAAGCGACTTCTTTCAGTGCGGTGAAACATGCGCCGCGTCGTAAATATTCGGTCGCAATGAGTAAGGGAATCCGGCAAATTTACGAAACTCACTAAGATTAAATCGAGCGTACTCGTGAAAAGAGAAAAGGAGACGTTACCTTTCCGCGGCCGCAACCAGTCCTCCATGTATCCTGCAAGCGGTGACGCATTGGAAGAGCCTTGTTTATGGTAGCACAAACACAAACATTGCACCAAACACTCATACAGTATTTACTTTAACGGCAACTTGTGCTCATTCAAGGTGTGTGATGTTCAACAACGACTCTGCTGTATACATTCAATCTAATATCATTTCTAAGTATTTTACTGAGTACCAAAGTAAAAATTTATACAATCTACTCCTTTTGTTAGTATATTTTATACTTTAATTCTACAGAAAGTTGGTAATTTGCAAAATTGCGAAAATATCATCACACAAGCTTAATTTATTCACTACAAATGAAAAGAATTCAAACTGCACTTAGGCGAGGACTGTGAAAAGTAAATACTGCTTGGCTACAGTGTCGGTCACGTGATACGTTTCATTTGCAAATACTATAAAAATAAAATACGAGGGGAACAATGATGCCATTTTTATAACATCTGATTACTTAAATAGTGGAAGTAGGTAGCTAAGAGTAAAATATTAGAGGAAAGAAATACTTTACTGTTTTCCAAATAAATATGTTAGTGATTAGAGGCATTTGCAAATGATAACATTGAAACCATCACCCAACCATCAATAGTTATATGATTGTCATAACAAATCTCAAAACCAAATGTCCTGACCAATACATTTTTTTAAAGGAGATGTACAGTACCCCCGGTGCAATCATTATTCATTGGAAACAGCTTTAACAAGTATTTGTCCAAAATCACCCAATTGTGCCATTATTTTTCGATATTTGTATATATAACATAAAAGTGGTTTGAGAATTTGCTCGCCAGTGAGAGTCAAAATACATTTGACTAACATAGGCGGTTAAATACAGCACAAACAAAAATAATAACTTTATAAAGTTAGTTGAAAATTTTATTAAAGACAATTCCCATGTTGAAGGAGGGGGGTTAATTATCCATTTTACAGGTATATTAGTATGAAGGGGTAGATATTTGCATGTTCACTGGTATACAAGAGACTCCAAGACTCGCTATTACCTATTACAATAATTGGGGTTATTTTGAAAATAAAAAAGGACACATCTACCACTTCAAACTAAACATCATGACATGTTATATTAAACCAAACTCTGTCCAATTTCTGTTAGACTTTTTACAAATATAAGGTAAATTAACTTACCATCTCGTAGCTCTGTCACCCCGGAAGTGGTGGTCTGTGTTTGTTTAGCGTATGTGACATTTTCTTTCGGAGGTATGTCTGTGGACTGAACGGATACCACTTGTAGTTGTGGAGGTTTCTTCGGGGTACTGAAATAAATTTTAACATAATTATTGCCTTATAAACAAAAACAACATATTATAACAAACTAATTGCAAGAGAGTTGAGTGTTATATAGATGAAGTTTAAATTTATTAAGAGTACAAACATAGGAAAAAACTACATTTGAAAACTAATATTTTTTATAACATATTTGCTCGTAAAGTGCTTGTAATTACACCAATTTCAATATCGTAATGTATCTCATTACGTACTTGTGCGATAATGTAATGTAAAAGGCACGTGTTTTTTTTTTAAGGTTTTAAGATACTCCGTCTAAAAATGAACGATACTTTTAAAAATCATAGCAAAGAGGTTTTATGTCAAGAAAGTGGTCAATATTGTATGAATAAAATTAACTTTGGGAAATAAAATATAAAAAATAAAGATTTAATTCTTTAATTTAATTAATTTTGACAATAAATTACAACAATTTATCTATAACAAAAACACAAAAATATTAATTTACTTTACGAGTAATACTGGCTGTTTTTGTACCATTGCCTAAAAAAAACGTTGATGCGCGCATCGCTTACTTAACAATTATTTCGTGACGATGCCGGTTCCAGTCCTGCCCAAATCGATTTTTTTTTTCAATTTATTTTTGATTTTTAAATATATCGTTAAGTGCACAACTTCATTCTAATGGATTATTGGATTACATGAAGAATTGATGCTGTTATTGAAGTTAAAAGTCTCATTGCTATTTTCAAGTATATTTATGTGAGATTACCGTGCTCAAACACACAGACAAACAGTGTAGAATTCCAAAAATCATTCTTATGGATTACTAATGCATTGAGAAATAGAGGACAGCAATCTGTTACATTTTTATTATATGAAACAGATACAGAAAATGTTCTGGAAATGAAATGAAAAAAAAGCCTAACATTTTTAAAATCTATTAATGAAATAAATCAGTAGATGTAAAAAATAAGCACATATCACTTATGATAAAAAAAGATGAGAAAGTACAAGACAGTGAAAAATAATTACAAACCCGTGAGATGGAAGACTTGATTTGTCAGTATGTGGGAGACTAGCATCTGGTGAGGCTGTCTGGGGTGGTGTCAGTGACGTCATGGAAGATAAAGATGATAGGACATCCTTTACTGGTGCAACACCCAACGACGACAGCATTTCATCCAAATCACGACGACTGTCCAGGCTGGAGGCATTTGATGCTCTTTGCTGAAGTATGTTGATAATAATTAAAGGTGGATTACAAAAGTTGGCTTTGGATTTGTGTAACTAAAATTAGTTCTACATTATTATTATTTTCTATCAGGGACAACCTTGGTAGGACGGGTGATCAGTCCACGTTATCCGCTGACCATTTCACCCATTTCCTCCTTGTAGAGGTTTTGGGTCATCCAACTCTCCCCGTGTTCCGGATTCAAACCTAACGGTTTGCTTGCAGAATCGTATTATTTTTTCCATCTGTAGTTCTTTAATATCATCTTCTGTAACTTCGTCCAAGCCCATATGCATTTGTCTTAGCCTCGAGTATGCAGAGCATTCAGTGAGTAGATGCTTGTTTCCTCACTTTCTCTGCACTCTGGACATTGGGGTTCTCTATCTATAGCTATCACTGTAAGATTTCTACGATGAGTCTGATATTCGCTCTTGTTAGTCTCATCAGGTTTTTGGTCATTTTCGACTGTCTCATACCAGTCGAAGATTTTCGTCTTTGGTTTGTCTCTTCTATGATTCCATGCTCGATTATTTCATCGGTTACTTTATATGGGCTATTGGAAGTCTCGGTTTTGGCCCAATCAAGCTTTCATCGGCTCCTTCGCGAGCGAGTTCGTCCTCTCTCACATTGCCATTATTTCCTTGGTGTCTGGGGACCCAGGCAAGTCACTTCTACCTGATCAGTTAGTTTGTCGAGTGCTAGTTCTACATTATACATAAATCTTTATTTTTTCCTATAAGTGTATATAGTAAACCTCAAAAAAATACTAGCTATAATATATTTTGTTTGTCACAAATTGCTGAAGAATTTAAAGCAAAAACTAGATAATGGCTACTTTAAATTATCATCAGTTCAAATATACTAAACAATTGCAATTGTCTTACCAATGCTTCTTCTGCATCCTTTTGTTCTTTTTCGCGCCGACGACGATCCTTTTCTTCTCTCAATGCTTGAAGTTTCGCTTTCTTTCGTTCTAATTCCAATTTACGATCGGTCGTTGACATGGTCTCTGCTGAAATATTTTCTTTTTAACTTTCCTCTAGACTCTACTATATGTATGTTGCAAGCAAAGTTATACTGTTGCTGAATTACTGTACTGATGAACAGTTACAGGTATTGATTTTAACTTGTCAGTAATCGTACAGAATGACATTTATGTGAGAAGTTAGAACTATAGACAGCGGTGGACTAAATAATCTTATTTCACGTTTACGTATATGTACAGAGACTTACATTACAATACCTTTGGTTTAATTCTAATATAAATCCTGCAACAAATAGCTAATTACTATTGTAAAGAATTTCTATGAAAACGTTAGATATAGTACTAAATAATATTGGGTGTTAAAGTTCCTAAAAAATTAAAACACATAGTATAAAATGTATAACGCACATTAAATCGTAAGTTTTCTTCGGTACTCGGAAATAGAAACGAAACTAGAACAAACTAAATAATACACTCTAACGAGAGACCTAGCGTATATTATGGCATATATTTCGAATTTATGATAACTTTATAGCTAAAGATGGACTATTGGAAAAAGTCACTAAACTAATAATCTCATAAAAAATAGTCACGGCAATGATGCCAAATTCAGAACGGAACAGTACACACACAGAGCACAGACTTTGTATTCAGCAACAATAACGGGTTTAGCGTCATAGTGTTTTTCATTTGCAGATAATATTAGTGTATACAGATACTGTATACTCCTACGCTTATATTTGCAGTATCGAGAAACACTACACAGTACACAGTTAACAGTGCACTAGAACCGGCACCACAGAGTACAGTTTGGCATTGAGACAACACAGAACATAAATATTATCAATATTATTGCTCTTCCTCGTTGCTCGAAAATAGATTCCTACGATTAGAGGTTGACATTTTGGTGTCACTGTCAGTTGACACGAATTACAGATATATTTACAAACTTCCAACCGCTGTGAGATTTTTATCTATATTCAAGCTTGGGTGTTGCCCCGATTCGTTAATATGAGGCACTGAATGTTGATACAGAGTTTCAGCGCCGCTTGTTAATCCATATCTTAGCAATTTGTAATGATCAAACAAATTCACTTGTGACAAATTTAGAACTGCCATTTATTGATTTCTTTACAGGTTAACTATGAAGTTATGATGATCTGCTCTGTCTACTATTATATTGCGGTGCTGTGTTTTAGCCTTTCTAGCGTGAAAGCAGGTTAGATGTTTGTTAATTTACGCACTCTATTTTCTAACAGCAGACGCACCATAATGTGACAATAATATTTCAGATTCGCTACGTTACTATTACGACTACGAATGTAACGAACCTCTTCTAGAGACGGCCAAATTGACCGCAACCTCCAGTTTACGGGAGAGGGGACCGGATAATGCTAAATTGTATGGTAAGTGAACAGTAAAGATTTAGTAGCTTCACTTGCATTTAATATTTTAATCTATTAATGTGTATTGTGTGTATCTCTAAAATGCAACAATTAAATGTTTTTTCTTAAAATATTATTTGTATCTTTAGGCATTCGCATTTTTGTGTGTCTATTTTATTTAGTAGAGTAGATCACCGTTTCATTAGACTTGGGTGAATTATTTCTTTATTTGCGTTTATTAAACTGGACAGTGTATGACTCAATAAGACTTGAACCGGATTCATTGGTCAACAGGTTCACACATGGTATAAAACCCTCTCTATATTCATTTATTTATTCAAGCAGTCCCAGGGTGTCAAAAGCAGTTCAAATCAGTCAAAAATGTCTCTTATTAATACTAGATGGGCCTTCAATGTATCTAACTGGAAACCCACAGAAGAACAGGTATTGGCTATATCAAGCTTTATACAGCCAGAAGAAAAACAAAGAATCTCCAGATTTGTTTTTCAAAAAGATGCAAAGTCAAGTTTAATTGGGAGACTTTTAATTAGGAAGTATCTAGGTGCTGTTACTGATATTCCATACCAAAACATAAAGGTAGGACGGGATAAACTTGGAAAGCCATACTTGTTAGGAGGTGGGGATCTGGCAGTAGACTTTAATGTATCTCACCAGGCCGATTTTGTGGTATTGGCTGGCAACACTAAACAAAAAATTGGCATTGATGTTATGAAAACTGAGCCACTAGTTGGCAAGGATGTGGTAGAATTCTTTCGTCTCATGAGAAGACAATTCACTGATGCGGAATGGCTGAAAATTGAAAGTTACAAAACTGAGGCTGAAAAATTAGCTAGTTTTTACAGAACATGGTGTTTAAAAGAAAGTTATGTCAAGAATAGAGGCATTGGAGTTGCAGCTTTTCCTCTTGACACTCTAAGTTTTTTCATATGTGAAGAGTTAAAACAAGGAGAAATTATAACTAGCACAAAGCTGAAAGAAAAAAATATATTAAAGGATTACGTATTTGAGGAGACAATATTAGATGAGTCGTATATTGTAGCTGTTGCATTAGAAAATACCAATACTTATGTAAGAGAAGATGCACCATTTATATTCTTAACTATAGACGATCTGTTAAATGATGCCAAGTCTTTGAGTGGACCAGATCCTGGTTTTGTTCGAGACTTCCTTGGAAAGAAGGAGAAACCTTACTAATAAACTTATTGCTAATATGTACGGTTGTGTGTGGTTTCAGTAGTTGATAAATATGTTTGCTTGATTTTCTTTATTGGGTCTGCAATAAAATATCCTCAAATACAATGCATTTCATTTAGCCTAACAGTCCAAACACTAATAGCCCGTCATAAAGCTGAACTTAAAGCGGATGATTCAAAAAGGTCTGAACGCGTGGACGGCGTCGGAGAATGATTTCGATCAACAACTTATCATTGACTTGGGGAGCGTGAAGAATGTCACACGCGTTGCTACGCAAGGTCGGGCCCACTCGCAGGAGTTTGTGCAAGAATACCATATTAGTTATGGGAGTAACGGCCTCGATTACGCCCGTTACAAGGCGGCTGGGGGGGAAGTCAAGGTAATAACATTGCCCAACGAGACCCCGAGCATCTAACACACGAGTCGTTTGCATGGAGTAGTTGCTTCTTTTCTAGTGCTTTTTTATTTTGATGGTGATGGTGATAACAAACAATATGCTTTTAAATTTATTTATACAGTTCTGAGATACTTACCCTAATAAAATGTAAAGTAGCTTGTAACCCATATTACATATAAAAATTGATTTTGGTTCATTCACTTGGAACTCTCACTTTAACAGTGCAACTTAAATTAACTGAAGTTGCATTCATTAGTTCTTTGTCTGGCGACAACAAGTCAGAATAATGGAGATTTTCTTGTGGATAAGATATACAAATTAATTTTACTAATGGTCATAAAATATATCTTTGCAAAGAGCTAACAATACTTAGATACATCTTACAATCTTGTGTATAATAAATAACCATACTAATTGCATTTCTTTCTTTGGCGAATTAAAATGTCGAGCACTAGATTCTTGGTAAATTAACAAACATTCACGGTGAAGGGACCTCAGCATGGACCGCCAAAGACAGCTCTTACTTCCAATACGTAACGGGCAACTTGCACAAACGCAAGGAAATACGCGCTGTGGCCACGAGGGGACGGTTTGCAACCGACGAGTTTGTATCAGAGTACATGCTTCAGTACTCTGATGATGGAGAGAGCTGGCGGGTTGTGTCTGACCCTGATGGATATGAAAAGGTGACGGTTGATGTTCCGAAGATGTCTGAACATTATAGTAGTAATTGGATTCGTTTATCTTAAAATATTTGGCTTCACTAGCTAAGCTTCAACTTACCTTAGACACAACCTCCTCAAGGCTCCAGCGCAGCCCTTTTTCAATAAGTAGTCTTAAAAACTATAACATTATTTTATAGTTACATATACTAATCAATAATCTTCTTGATAACAGTCTTCATCGTTTTCCTGGTACAGCGAAAAATCTTGGTGGCCCTTATTTTGTTTTGAGTAATGTATAATAATTACGGATGAAACTAATTTTCGTATCGAATCAAGATTTAAACCCTATTTGCAGATGTTCGAAGGCAACCACGATGGTAATACCATCGTTAAGAATGAATTCGAAGTGCCTATAATAGCTCAATACATAAGAATTAATCCCATGAGGTGGCGAGACAAGATTTCAATGCGAGTGGAACTGTATGGATGCGACTACGGTAAGTGAAGGGCGAAGGCGGTAAACATCATCAGAGAACGGTTCTACAGTAGGGAGTGTATCAGTTACATTTATTTGCAATTCATTCTTACTTCTGCCTGACGTTTCGATCGTTATTTGGGAAAAGAGATGTAAGACAAAACAGATGGTGCTAGCGTAGCAGTTTTTATTTTGAAATAAGAGAGGGCCGAAGCTGGAGAATATTTTCGCCCCCACACCGTGACCGCGGCTTTAGAAACGTCGGACTGCAGTTAAACTAAATTATAAAAATTTTACATAAGTTTAACTAATACAGTGTTTCATTTAAATAGAGAGTTCCATTTAGTTTAGTATATATGTTATACTAATTAGTTTTCTAATTGAAACTTAATTTTTTTAATGTGTTCCTTTAAAAATTTGATCTCACCAAATATCTTAAGCGAGCTTTGATTGTGTTTAATGAACAACTTTTAGTCGCTGATACGCTGTACTTCAACGGCACGTCCCTGGTCAAAGTGGACTTACTCCGAGATCCGATATCCGCATCGCGCGAAACCGTGCGCTTCCGATTCAAAACCAGCGCGGCGTCGGGCGCTCTGCTGTACTCCCGAGGCACCCAAGGAGACTTTATCGCGCTGCAGCTGAGGGACAATCGGCTGGTGCTCAATATAGACCTCGGTATGGCCTTCATATTAGCGACGTGATTAATGCAATCGAGAGGCGCTATTGTGTGGTATTAAAAAAAGAAAATGGTCGTGGCGAGCCTTTGCGTCATTTTAACATTCAGTATTTTAAAGGTTCCGGAACACCTACATCACTGTCGGTGGGAAGCTTACTAGACGACAACATATGGCACGACGTAGTTATTTCACGGAACAGGCGAGATCTCATCTTCTCGGTGGATCGAGTGGTCGTCCAGGGACGGATTCGAGGCGAATTCTCGAGGCTAAACTTGAACCGCGCGGTGAGTCTTCGAGGGCGACTAATGCGTAGCGCGACCCGAACAGGAGCGAATTTAGAATTATCGTGATTTCAGTTGTACATTGGCGGCGTTCCGAATTCCCAAGACGGCTTGATGGTGAAGCAGAACTTCACTGGCTGTGTCGAAAATATGTATTTGAACGCCACTAATGTCATCTACGAGCTGAAACAGGGTTACGAGACTGGAGAAGCTTTCAAGTATCAGAAAGTGAACACTCTGTATAGTTGTCCGGTGAGTTACGAACGCGTAGGTTACATCTTTGGTCAGTGATTAATGATGAATTTATCTAATGTAAATATAATTTCGCCGCAGGAACCGCCGCTGGTGCCCGTGACGTTCCTCAAGGCGGGCTCCTACGCGAAGCTGCGAGGTTACTCTGGGAGCAATGCGCTTAATATTTCGTTAGAGTTCAGGACGTACGAGATGCACGGTCTCCTCATATATCACAAATTTAAGACCGACGGATACGTTAAGGTAAGGACGCCCATATAATACTCGATTAGTTTCTGAATTTGACCACCAAGGAATCGAATTCGCTTAAATGTATTTGCGATCCGTTGCCATCAGGTGTTCCTAGAAGAAGGTCAAATTAAAGTGGAGCTATTCACGGAAGGATCGCCGAAGGTGAAACTGGACAATTACGCCGAGGTCTTCAACGACGGCCGCTGGCACTCGTTGATGCTCACTATGGCGCCCGACACCTTGGTTTTATCCCTGAACTATCGGCCCGTAAAAACTACAAAGAAACTTAACTTCTTTACTGGAAGCAGTTATTATATAGCCGGTGAGTCATTTTTGTATAACTTACAAAGTTACTTAATTTCTTCGGTCACTCGGCCCCAACTCATTCAAATTCATTTGAACTCGCGTGGAGCTAGCAAAAATACACTAGGTTACAAAGAATAATATTTTATGTGAGGCTTTGTGTTCGTCAATCTCTACGGCATCATATTCAATGACAGGAGGTAAATCGGGACCGCGTGGGTTTGTCGGGTGCATGCGCCGAATAGCGGTCGACGGCAACTACCGACTGCCGACTGACTGGAAGCCCGAGGAGTACTGCTGCCCCAATGAAGTCGTCTTCGATGCTTGCCATATGATCGACAGGTGAGAACTAGTTCCACGAGCTTCCGTTGTAGCCTATAGACATCTTTATCAATCTATACTAATATTATAAAGCCCAAGAGTTAGTTTGTTTGTTTAAACGCGCCTATTGCAAGAACTAGTGGGTCGCATTAAAAAAAGGCGGTTAGACTTTATCTAGGACTTGAGGAAAAATTATTAATTTTTGAAGGCTTCCATTAGTTACAATGCTACGTTTTATAGCATTTAGCCTTCCTCGATAAATGCTCTAACCAACACAAAAATAATGTTTTAATTCGAACCCGTACTTCATAAGATTAGCGCGTTCAACAAATTCTTCAGCTTTATATATGAGTATAGATAGTTATATAGATTTGCCAATCGTGTTCACAGATGCAACCCCAATCCGTGCGAGCACGGCGGGACGTGCACGCAGAGCGCGGACGAGTTTACGTGCGACTGCACCGGGACGGGCTACGCGGGTGCCGTTTGCCACACTTGTGCGTAACGTCTTTTAGGCTATTGAGGCGTGGTGTCGTGGTGGCGAGGTGGTCGTCCGATTAATCGATTGCAATTTCCTCTCTCCAGCCACTCACCCGCTGTCGTGCCAGGCGTACGCCAACGCGGCCGGTCTGTCGCGGTCGGCCGACATCCAGGTGGACGTGGACGGATCCGGCCCGCTCGCCGCTTTCCCGGTCACCTGTCAGTCGTACTGTGAGTGTCGCTTCTGATTAGATAATTGCCAGTCCTAGTCTGTTATAGCAAATGTAGCTTCTGTTTTTAGTCTCGTAATGTCGTTTATAAGTTGCCGTTTAAGTAGATGTTTATGGATTTTTTTTTAGCCGACGGACGGATCATCACGGCCGTGAACCACGCGGTAGCGAGCAGCAACATCGTGGACGGCTACCAAGAGCCGGGCAGTTACAAGCAGGACATCGAGTACGATGCGTCGCGTGCGCAGCTCGAAGCGCTATTGAATCGCTCCCATTCTTGTTCCCAACGTCTCGACTACATGTGCAGGCATTCCCGGCTCCTGAATTCACCGAGTGAGCATTTATTTATTATCTGTACAGTTAGTTTCTTTCATTTTGTTTAGTTCAGACAACACTTAGAAAAATAAAGCAAAAATTTTAATTTTGAGGACAATTGAGGATTATTGACACATTGAGGAATTATTTAATAGTGAGTAATTTACAGGTGAAGAATCGAACTTCCATCCCTTCGCATGGTGGGTATCCCGGAGCGGTCAACGAATGGACTACTGGGCCGGTGCTCCTCCTGGGTCGCGGATGTGCGCTTGTGGGGTTTTAGGATCATGCAAGGATCCCAGCAAGTGGTGTAATTGTGACGCAGAACATCTCATCAGTGATAAAGACGGTGGGTCTTTAGAGATGTTTTTAACATATTTTTAATCACTTCAGTCCTGACGACGATGTATATGTTGTGTAATGACAAATTTCAATTAAAAACATTTCAATTCGATTTCAGAGTTTCAAATGGACGGTGGCGATATAACCGAAAAAGAGTACTTGCCGGTGAAGCAATTGCGCTTCGGTGACACTGGCAGCCATCTCGATGAGAAAGAGGGACGGTACACATTGGGGCCACTGTTGTGCGAGGGAGATGGTAAGCTACACTCGACTGTACCGCACGTATTAAGGACACTCGTACCATATAATGATTATATGTTGCGCATGATCTCATTTTAGATCTCTTCAACGACGAGATAACCTTCCGAATATCCGACGCCGTAGTGATGTTGCCGGCGTTCGACTTCGGCCACAGTGGGGATATTTATTTTGAGTTCAAGACCACGAAAGAGAATGCCGTGCTGTTACATGCCAAAGTAAAGAAATTAAATGATATCTAGTTGTATATTTGACGACAAAAATGTATTTATATAAATAAGAACGTAATTTTTATTTAGTCCAAATGAAACTTGAACCGAATCGTTTGAACCTTTTCCAGGGTCCTCAAGACTACATTAAATTGTCGATTATCGGCGGAGATCAACTGCAATTCCAGTTCCAAGTGGGCGACACGCCGTTAGGTGTCTCCGTTGAAACGAGTTCACGCCTCGCCGACGACCACTGGCATTCGGTATCCATCGAACGAAACAGGTGAACAGTCTACGGGCTACAAGGCTATGGGCTTCGTTAAGCGTCGTGTTGTTCTATCCTTTTTCTTCAACTGAAATGGTCAGCTGATGGCGTGATGCGGCCTTCTACGGGTGTCCCCGATAGAAAATAATGATAATGGAGTTCACCTGATGTCAGGTGAATTACCCCTATAGCACCTAAACGAGATTCGTAAAGAAAAGATGTATCTTTGCAGAAAAGAAGCCCGCGTCGTAGTGGACGGAGCCCTGAAGAACGAGATCCGCACGGCGAAGGAACCGGTGCGAGCTTTGCATCTCACGACTTCCCTCGTACTCGGCGCGTCCATAGAACGCAAGGACGGTTTCGTCGGCTGCATGAGAGCCTTGCTGCTCAGTGGAAAGCCGGTCGACTTACGATCTTACGCTAAAAGAGGTGAGAATATGACAATGTAGTACTATTTGAAACGGTCCAGTTGTATACCGAGCGGTGAGCACGTTCCTAATTGCGTCGTCAGGTCTCTACGGGATTTCGGAGGGGTGCGTCGGCAAGTGTTCGTCGTCGCCGTGCCTGAACAACGGAACGTGCCTCGAAAGATACGACACCTACTCTTGCGATTGCCGCTGGACGGCGTTCAAGGGGCCCATCTGCGCAGACGGTGAGTTACGTCCAGAAATAATATCGCAAAGGTTTCGTCATACATATATCAGTAACTCACGATGAGTTAACCGCTTGCCTCAGAAATCGGAGTGAACTTGCGTCCCAACTCGATGGTCAAATACGACTTCCTCGGCTCTTGGCGTTCCACCATAAACGAGAAAATCCGCGTCGGCTTCACGACCACCAACCCCAAAGGGTTCTTGCTGGGATTCTACTCCAATATCTCCGGGGAGTACCTCACGCTTATGGTGTCCAATTCAGGTGAGTTCAGGTGGGGCTAACTTAAGCCGTAATACTCATAAAGGAAGATCAAATTATCGACTGCGATGACCGTCTTTAAGTAGAAATTTGTGCAACACAATAGCATATAATGATACCATTAGCCATAGCGAAGGCGCTGCGACGAGACTGATTTCTATTTCTGCAGGTTCACTTCGCGTCGTATTTGACTTCGGTTTCGAGCGCCAAGAGATAATATTCCAGGGTAAACACTTCGGGTTGGGCCAGTACCACGACGTGCGATTGTCCAGGAAGAACAGCGGCGCTACGATGGTGCTGCAGGTGAGTCCACATTTATAGATATTTCACGCAGTGTGCCTCTGTGATTTTCGAGACTTTGTAACACGCTTTGTCTGGGCAGGTGGATAACTACGAGACTCAGGAATACCACTTCAACATCCGCGAAAGCGCAGATGCGCAGTTCAATAATATCCAGTACATGTACATCGGGCGGAACGAGAGCATGAACGAGGGATTCGTGGGTTGCGTGAGTCGAGTCGAGTTCGACGACATCTACCCGCTCAAACTGCTCTTCCAACAAGACCCGCCGGCCAACGTCCGCACTATCGGTCAGTGGGCTTCCGCCGCCTCGCTTATGAACGTGTCAAATCGGCGAAAGATAGCGGTGGACAGAATTACCAAAATTGTATTCACCTGTCGTTTAACGTTTCAGGGGGTATTCTTCACGAGGACTTTTGCGGCGTCGAGCCAGTGACTCATCCGCCGGAACCCACAGAGACTCGCCCCCCACCGTTCGTCGACGTCACATCCGACGATCTGCATCGCACTGACGAGGCCATACTCGCGAGTAAGTCGACTCATCGAAAGATGCCACGGAGCGAGATCTCTATTGACTGTCTGTTAAAACAGTGCTCAGAAATAAATGTGCATTTCCAGCCGTTTTGGCGTTCATCTTCTTGCTGCTCATCGCGGTGGCGATCGTCTTAGTGCGCGCTCTGTCCAGGCACAAGGGAGAATATCTCACTCAGGTGTGTATTTTGAAGTGAGGCTCGATGTTTCAATAATTTAATTCCTCTACCTCTCAATTTAACGATTTAACGTTGAAGGAGGAGCGCGGCGCGGAAGGTGCCGCCGACCCCGATTCCGCCGCGCTGGCCGCCGCCACTGGACCCAGGGTCACTAAGCGACGCGAGTTCTTTATCTAGACGTCAGCGTCGATCGACGTCTCCACACGGAGGAGACAGGCCTCGATCGTTCGTTTAGAAGTTGTGCTAATTTTTGGCACTCAAGAAACCGTTATCTTTACCGATGGCGCACAATCGCTTATGTTTTATTTTCGTACATTAAATATCTACTACAATAAATCCGTAATATCAAAATTCTTCGTTGAAGCGTATAAAAATATGTTCGAATTCGTATCATTAGTACAAAGTATTAATCGCAATCTCACTAGGGTAAGCGAAAGGGGAATGCCGATGTTCGAGAATTCTGTTACTGTTTTTGTTTTTTAATAACTCAGCTGTGCAATGCAATATTTTATTTACTTTCATTTCGCTCAGAAACATCGGCGACAACAATCTGAAAACAGCAGGACTTTTCTCGCAATTTTCTCCCGTGAAGTGCCATCTGGCCATTTTGACTATACTTATTTTACGATAATTCTTTGAACGATATGTTAAAGTATGACTGTACCGTAGTTTATGTTTGTCATATGTTAGAAATGAATATGTGTAGATTTTCATTTATGTCGCCTTCACTGTAATGTATATTCGGATATGAAGTTATTTTACAATTGTGTATTTTTGAACAATTTTGTTTTCCGTCCAGAAACGTTGAAACTTAGCTACTTAAAATAACTTATCTTTGGAACTTATTTTACTGTATGTGAGTTTTTGTAAATGGGGTATTTCTGAACAGCGTTTGTACATTAATTTTGTAATAATTGTAAGTTTTTTTCATAGCGTATGTTTTATCACCACGTAACGGACGATATGAGGACATGCAATAATGAAAAATGTTTGTCAACATTTTTATACCGTCAAAGAATCTTGTGGTTGACAATTTATGACACGTCGAATGAATATATTACCAATATATTATTAGATAATCATTTGAGTATCATATTTATTTTGTATGTCACCATATTACACCTCTCGTACAAATGTTTTAGGAGTCGCGCTGAACGATATGACATTCGCGACGATAGAGGATCTATCGCGAAATTATTAATTTGTCGTAAAAGTTACACATGCTCTCGACGGAGAGTTAATAGAGCTCTTAGTATTAAGTATTGTAATAATGAATCGCATATTGTTTCCGGAGTTATATCGTCTTCATAAACAAACGCAATTTAAAGCAAACTTATTGTAGGTTACGTCACCTTTTCTGTTGCCGTCATTAGTGTCCAACATATAATAGATAATAGTTTTTTTTTAAATTTTGGTTATTTAAAATAAATAAAAACCTTCAGTCTTGTTCATGGAGACAATGTAACGCTTGAGTGCCTTATAGTTCGGCACAGAAACGCCTTAGCGTAGTGAGTTAGAGTTTTTATTTTACTACGAAATCACAAATAAAATTCCAAAATCTTTTATTTTTATAATATCCTGAAACATTACCATTATTTTATTATGAGAATCCTTTAATAAAGAGAACTATAACGATCTCTTTGCTACCAAAGACAAAGGCGCCGCAATATCTATCCTTTTTACGCCTGAAATGTACCCTTCCCTCTCAACCCTTCTTTTGACACGTAAGACACATCGGAAATTTTTTTCGCTATGCACAAAGCAGTAGCCATTACCCAATAACTAAAATAAAGTGGATTTTCCAGTCCGGGTTTCATAGTGGTGTTTCTTGCTTTTAAAAATTCCTATGCTAGCTAATTTGGGGGTAGTTGAATGTCGGCGCCGAACTACGTCAGCAAGCTACCTATATTTGTACTTCGTTTAATCGCCAATTGTGTCCTAATATAGTTTTCAACACCCGCGTATAAAGTGAAATTAGTTTAGTAACTGAATTTTATAACATATTTGCTCGTAAAGTGCTTGTAATTACACCAATTTCAATATCGTAATGTATCTCATTACGTACTTGTGCGATAATGTAATGTAAAAGGCACGCGTTCTTTTTCTTAGCAGAGGTTTTATGTCAAGAAAGTGGTCAATATTTTATGAATAAAATTAACTTTGGGAAATAAACATTTAATTCTTTAATTTAATTAATTTTGACAATAAATTACAACCAATCTATAACAAAAACACAAAAATATTAATTTACTTTATTAGTAATACTGGCTGTTTTTGTACCTTTGCCTAAAAAAAAAGTTTATGCGCGCGCATCGCTTATTTATGGACAAGTAAAAATAATTCCGCGCGCTTTTTCTTTTAGTTGTATTGTTTTTATTTGTAAATGTCGTCATTTCCTCGTAAATATGTTATAAAATGTCGTATGACATACGTGCGCTATGAAAATTACAGCCTCGGCTTACTTACCGCACTTATATCATAATGTACTATAATACGTCCCGTGAACTTAGTGCGCTAGAGTTCCGTATATTAAGTGATTCAGTGTATTGCACGTAGAAATTACTTCAGTGCTGTAAAACGTCTCAGTCTTCGAGAACCGTAAGTATTGTACTGTTTTGTGTTTCAATTAAGTCTCTTTCTGATTGTGTAACTTGACTTAACCTAATCTTTAGGTAAAATGCATAGCACTAAACTTTATTAGGTGGTTAACAAATTATATAAGGTTGTGTGGTGTGAATTTTTGTGAAAATCCGATATTCAAGTTATACGTTGCGTTCGTGGACAGATCGTATTTTGCTTTTTAACCTTCGTTTATTGCATTTAAATTTTTAACCTTTCTAGGTTATATCACCGATTAATCATAACATCAAATTAACAATATTACACACTATAAGTAAACTAAAACTGTTTGGTAGAAATCTATACTAATATTATAAAGAGGAAAGATTTGTATTTTATATGTAACGGATAAACTCAAAAAGTACTGGACCGATTTTAATAAATCTTTTTTCATTAGAAAGCTACATTATCACTGAGTAACATAGGCTATATTTTATACTTGATTACTATAGGCATCTATAGAAATTCTTACTAATACCAACGGAAGGCGTAAAAACTTATGATAGGACAAAAAAACGTCCGACGATATTATAGAATATATCAATATCTACAAAAAACATATGTCTAACTATTGTAGTTACGTCTCTATAACTAATTGGTTACATTTAACAAATTAATAGAAATGCCGATCAAAATCAGACCGTGTTATCCATACCGTTTATACATTTTAATCCAAATTAATTTAATATTCAAGACTGTCTCAATACCTGATATTTATTGAAATCGGACATGCCATTCAAAAGATGTTGAGTAACTAATTCGATGATAGAGGGGCAAAAGTTCTTTTCAAAGCTACTTAGTATTAGGAATCACACTTTGGATAATATTTGCCAATCTCTATGAACTTGAATATTTTCTTCTGTATTATTATTAGTTTATTCTCTGATTTAAAATAAATATGGTGGTAGGATTATGGAACCGAATCCAATCGAAAATGTTCGCCTTTTGGTTCCAGTCTTTGGATTTCAGAATGTCCAAACCTTATTATAGGTTTTTCTTATTGAATTACATTTTTGTTAATTTCCTTGTTTCTAGTAGAAGAGCTTTTATAGCGGTGGAATTTGAATTCATTACATCTAGTTCTGTGTGCTAACTATTACAGTTTTACAATTATATGTCCAGCAGAATCGTAGTGTGTATCTAGTTCTATAATCAATAATATCCGCAGCGTATGCGACTTTGGATTACGTTAGTAAAGATTTAGTAAATACCTAATCTTTTCTAGAAATAAATATCGCCTATGCAACTCAGGGTGAATGTATTCTTTCTAAGGACACAGTACTTTTTGAGTTTATTCATTACTAGCAGTACCCGTGACTTTGTAGGGCATAAAATTATTTTTTGCAAACAACCTACACGTTACTTACCTACAACTGCTTTATTAGGTCCAGCTGTTATCCACGATGTTGAACGCGTTCCGCCGTATTTGCAAGTCCATCTTAAAAGATAGATGTTATGTACTGTCGCGGACATTTTTGTAGATTATTAAATGAGCATTTTCCAAACGTATTTTTTGGTTTCTTGAAACTCTTTCGTAGCGTGGCAACGGAAGTCCTCAGAGATGAACAATTTCTCAATCTCGTTTTTTTCCACATTTTCCACGATAACTTCGTTCCTGTTCGTCGCAGCGTGATGATTGTATAGTAGATAATATTTAGTAATTTTAAACCACTCTTCACTTTTTGAAATAAATATACAAAAATACTATTCTTTCCTTTTTACAATATCAGTTATACCCACATACGAGTACATAGGTATCCCAGCCGTCTTCAGTGTTCAGTACCTTACATCTAGTGAAGCCAGGCTTACCTCGCTAAACACATTGTAATATATGTATTGTAAAAGTATTTTAGGTTTAATTTCCTTATATTTTACTTCTGATAATACTCTAAATTCTTCATGATATTATAATTTAGTTTTTAAGGGTATTTTCTGAAATACCCTCAAAGAAACATTTTCGTCATAACTCAATAACTTTTTAGTTTTTAAATAAAACACGCTTTCGATCGCGAAATATACTGTTTTGGCTTATTTCTAACCTGACGTTACAGTGCATCCGACACCTTAGGTCGTATTTAAACGTGAGTGACCCACGCGTGTATCACAGACGATGCTTTGTTTTTAGTAGATCAACTATTATTTATAAGACTATAAGTAAAAATCTAAAAAAATGTCGACTCGGACAGGACTTGAACCGGCATCGTCAGCATTACGTGCTGACGCTCTACTGAGTCATTGTTTCTATTTATTTTCCATTTTTTAATTATATAGTACCATCACGTGAAATAACGTGAAAAGTAAGTAAAGTTTTCCATTGACTATAAGTAGTTAATGACGTTTTCGAAGTTCCAACATTTGCTGACACGCAAAGGTAACGAAATGAATAGAGAAGCATAATATCGTAACAGCGAACAGTGAAGTACTCTAAAAATAATGTAACTTCGAAACGCGAGATAAATGGGTCGAGGAACAAAAGCGTAAAACGTATGCGAAGTGTTAAGCTGTCACCTGTCCCAGTGACCCGACTCTGGCGCGAAGGTGCCGAGAGGGCGCGCGTG